GGGAATGGAAAGGAGCAGGTAGATTTTTGCCCTTCCCAGTCGGCTCAGGAAAAAGCAAACTGCTCCAGCCTCTTCTAGCTGGCCTGGAACTATTAAATCATAACTACAGTACAATAATAGCATCTTGTACCAGTGGTCTGATTGCTTTGGATCCCCCACCCCCATCTGACAAAGTGAGGGGAATTCATAAAGAGTAAAAAGAGGAAAGTGACCATGTCTGCTTCTCTGATATCTTTTTCAAAGAACAGATTGTGGGGGAAGAAAGACTTGTTTTGCAAAGGCTAGAGAAAGGCAGGAGCAGGGAGTTGGGGTGGGGGGGGGAGGAGGGGAGATAAGAGGCAAGACAGGAAAAGAGAGGACCTGGAGGGGAGAGGAGAAGCAAGGGAGGGGAACAATTGTGTGTTTGCAGACAGGTTTGATACTGACTGTTTTCAAACTGGTATGTCGCCAGTATGCTTCTGCTTCAACAACACAATTGCTGCTAGACAACAGACTGCTTTGATAAAGTCTTTATACTGCCCCCTTAGATTTCTGTCTCTGTATAATTGCTTCATTTTAATTCTAGTCACTACTTGGCAAATCAGTTTAGTGTTTCTTAAAGATTTCTGCTTCCTCCACAGAACAATATTTGCTAGTATTCCCTGAGAGAAAAATGAACTATATTAAAGCAAGTCTGAAGGATAAGCATGCCCCCATGATTGCTATGTTTTTTTTAATGCTCAGTAGATAATGCCAAGTAACAGTGCCACTTTTTCTGCTCTCCTAAAAGACAGGACAGTGGTTCTCAACCTGTGGGTCACCAGTTGTTTTGGCCTACAACTCCCAGAAATTCTGACCAGTTTACCAGCTGTTAGGATTTCTGGGAGCTGAAGGCCAAAATATCTGGGGACCAGGCGCGTGAGAACCACTAAATAAGATAGATCACAAGGTTCCTTCCCAAAAATGCATATATTATTGTTGTGTTAACTCAGGGGTTGGAATGATTTCTGGACAAGCATGGGAGGAAGATATCTTTAATATTTCTGCCAGCCCTGGATTTCTCCCTGCCCTAAACTGAGCTTTGGGATCAAACACGGGCCCATGGTGTTATGTGTCCATGTGGAATTTGCAGTGAGAAGTGACAGGAGATACAAGCAAAGTTTAGCACCTCTTCTTTATCAGACATGCTCCACACACAGATTTCACAACATTAAAGGTCTAGAAGCACACATTCATCAAGCAGTGGTGAATTTTGAAGCACCACTACTTGTGTCAACACTCCCATAGGAGAGTCCCAAAATGCAGGAAACTATGTGAACCAAGGCCAGTAGCTCAATTTCTAAGCATTTTGTGCTTGTAAAAGTATAAGTCTTTTATAAACCTAGTTGGGTCTTAGTTACCCAGTTAGGACCACCCAAACCCCAAATATTTTGGTTCACAACACAGTTAAATGAGAGCAATGCAATGGTACTTGAGAAACCTATTTTTCAACCATTTTGAATTATTTTCAATAATTTCCATAGATATGAGTAACAACTCTGCATTTATCTTAATAGTAGTGGTGTGAGGAAAGCTGGATTCTCAGAGTTGAAGCCCCAGAGATGTTTAAATAAGAGAAGAAACAACATCATTTGCATCCCTCTCTGATTAGCTGCAAGAGTGGAAATGGATGTTCTCAGATGTTGGGATACCAATGGGGAGAATAAGGAGAACTTTTTCATTTCAGGATTTATCCTGTATAGAAAAAGGCACCATTTCCCAAGAGTATTCACAATTCAGGGATTATTCTGTACAAAATTTGCACATGGCTGTTTTGCATAGAAATATTATCCTGTGCAGAAAAGACTGTTTCTTGTCCCAAAAATGCTGCTTTATATGCAAATCACCTGTGTGTGAATTTTGTGCATTGGACATCTCCAAGTACAGCATTTTCTGCCCAAGGAATAATGCATCTGCATCAAAGTGTCATGTTCTATTCAGAATGTGCTGTTTTTCTGCACAAAACAACCATGTGAAAATTTTGTGCAGAATAAGCCCTGAACTGTAAAGATTTTCCTGAGTCTAGGATTCGTGTCACCTGTCAAAAAGATATGGTTTTGACCATTTTTAAATTATTTTCAAATACGTTTTCCATCTCCAACGGAGACATGCCAGTTATACTACTGAATAGAGAACAGAGTGATGCTAAGGAATGTTTCTGTCCCTATTCCCATTACCCAATGGAGTAAGTAAAGATGTATAGAACTTGAGGCTTGTATGCTTACTATAGACCAGTGGTTCTCAACCTGTGGGTCCCCAGATATTTTGGCTTTCTACTCCCAGTAATCCTAACAGCTGGTAAACTGGCTGGGATTTCTGGGAGTTGTAGGCCAAAACACAACAGGGACTCACAAGTTGAGACCCACTGGTTTAGACAGAATCCTCTTCCGCAAAAAACAAATATGAATACGTTGCATTTTTATAGGTTTGCTTCAAAGCTTATTTTCATGACAGTAACACCACTATTAGTAGAGCTGGTTCTCAAAATTGATGTGTACACTGTTCACTATTTCTTTTGGGGAGGGGGGTGTTCTGCATTTTCAAAAAGTTGATTTTCCTCCAGATATTGGACTTCATGCTCCTAAATTAATTTCATATATTTCTTCTACGAATAGTGTATACACCACAATTACAAAGTTCAAGAAATTGTTATGAAGGAAATATGGTCTAGCAGTCTATCTTTGAAGGGTACTTCAGTTGCCCATAGAATCACAAGGTAGAGAGATGAGAGGAATACCTGCCATTTTTTAAAAAGCGGTATTAATCAGTAGGCTTCTTTGGACCCTAATTAGTGGGAGATGGAAAAACCACTTATCTTCATGCACCTTCTCAAGTGCTTTTTAAAGGACACTTTTTTTCCTTATCGTGTATGCATTCAACGTTGCTATAGTTACAAGAAAAGAGCATGCGGACCCTTGATGGTCATAATTGTTGTGTAGTTGTGCACAAAAGAATCAAGGCTTTCTCCTGCAGAAATTGCTAGGGAATTTATTTTTCCCCTCACAATACCCCAGCAAACTTGAACAATTTCAATTTAACCTGCAATTACGATGGGTGAAACAGCAGGGCGACAATCAATGGGGTAACAGTGTGATGCCTCCTGTTGCTTTGCAGTAATAATTTCAACAAGAAATCAAGATTTGTTTTTATATGAAGATTTTTTTTAAAAAGGGCCTTTTAGACAGTCTCACACCACTGCTTTGCTTTTTCTGATTCGGTTGCCATCAAAGCTGAGCAAAGATCTTAAGACATAAACTATCCCTAGTCTCTCCATTCTGGGCAGAATGGGGATCTTTTGTACTTAAAATGCAGCATTTTTGCTATTTGCATGCTCATTAGGGTGCCTCTTTTTAATTTACTAGCTGAATCTCCCTCACAGAGAGTTACTAGAACATTCCTATGAGGAATAGCCAAACTGGGTTCATCTAGAACAGTGGTTCCCAACCTTTTTTTGACCAGGGTCCACTTGACTAGGGTCCACTTTGATCAGGGCCCACTTGACCGGGGCCCACTTTGAACAGGGTTCACTTGATCAGGCCCACTTTGACCATGGCCCAATTGACCAAGGCTTACTTTGACCAGGGCCCACTTGAATGGGGACCAATTGGTCAGGGACCACTTTGACCAGGGAGCACTCTTCAACATTAGCACCAAAAGGGGCAGGACTGGTCAGCTCTGTGGAAAGGAATAGAAATAAAATAAAGAAGGAGGAGGTTCACAGATCAGACTTTTGTTCTCATGGCCCACTGCTGGACCATGGCCCACAGATTAAGAACAACTGATCTAGAAAGTGCAACATATATGGCAATATTGTTAAGTTAACCCATGAAAAGCATCAGTAATGGAAAGAGAGCATGTCTACATTGTAGAATTAATTCAGTTTGTTACCACCTTGGCAGCCAAGAAATCTTGGGCTTTGTACTTTGGTTAGGCACGAAAGCCCTTTCCACACAGCTGAATAAGATCCCACATTTGCGGCTTTGAACTGGACTATATTGCAGTGTAGTATAACCCAATTCAAAGCAGATATTGTGGGATTTTTTGCCTCAACATTCTGGATTATATGGTTGTGTGGAAGGGCCCCAAGACTCCTGGGGCAAGAAGGCTGAAGACCTTGTAAAATTACAGCTCCCATGCTTCCATATCATTGAGCCATGACAATTAAAGTGAGATCAAACTGTATTAATTCTACAGTGTGCATGCACACAGAGCTAGACCCTCCAAATTTTATAAAGTGAAGTGATGATTCCTGAAAGAACTAGACAATGAAGCTTTTTTTTAAAAAAAATAACAACTTCCCTGCTTTCTGAGTGCCAAACAGAGGCTTCTGGGAGAGCTTTGATCCCTGCAATCTGGCAGTGTGATCTTCTATGCATTCAAACAAGCAGGAATGGTGAGGGTTACTTTTGGGCATAGGCTTCTCATCCATCAGAGGTGCCGATGGAAGTTAAAGACAGTTGCCTCAGGTGCTTCTTCTCTTAGCCTCAGCCATTGTGTGAGCCTGGCTACAAATACGCAGTGGGAAGAGAAAAATATTTTGCACATGCTTTCTTTTCTCACAGACTATAAGGGAACATCGGAAACAAAAGAGCCCCTAGTCAAAACGAACCTAAAAACCAAGAATTTGTATCAACACAGTATTATTCATACTTGCAAAGAAGCTGACATGCCTTTAAACTTTTTAATTGGATTTTGTTTACTGTCCTGCGAGAGAGAGAAAAGAATGAAGAAAGGGAAAGAGAGAGAGAGAGAGAGAGAGAGAGGAGTGCTTCAGTGAAAGCTTGTTTTCAAATGTTTGCTGCATTGCCAATTTGGAGAGGCAAGAGCAAGATAGTCTGCTAAAGTGATTCCAGATGGGCCAATATTAATATCTTTCTGTTCCTGATGAATGAGAAGGTATGACCCAGATAGAAAGCTGCTAAAATTACAGGCGCCACGGAGGCTTCGGCTGGTGCCCTTCCACACGGATACTTTATCCTTACCTCGGCAACTGTAGCTCTGATGAGAGGCTCTAACCTGCTGCAGCAAACGTTCCAGGGCTTCAATCTGTCCCCTGTGCCTCGGCTCCCTGCCATCATAGTCTTTCCAGTCTAGTGAACAAAAGAAACAAACAGAATGAAAACGCAGCAAAGGAAAGCGAGCCAGGCTGAGGGCTTCTTTGCTCTGGGTGTCTCTTGGCTGCAGAGGGAATTGGCCACCAAGTTTGTTTTTAAGCTTGCCCATTTCCCATACTGTTATTTTACTACCTGCATCTCTGGCCCCTTCTACACTGCTATATAATCTAGTTTCAGATTAACTGCATTGAACTGGATTACATGTCAGTGTAAATGGGGCCTCGGTAGCTTGACTTATTTTTTATTTCTTTATTTACAGTATTTATATACCACTTTTCTCACTCCTGGGGGGACTCAAAGTGGTTTACAAAAAATAATGACAAAATTCAATGCCTTACATACATAAACCAAATCATAAATCAAACAGCATATGATTAAGCATAAAATAAAATAGGACAAATTCACCACAATATATTATGACACTTAAACATGAAGCATAAAAATTAAAAACACCTAATAAAAATGTAAACCACATGATCCAAACTCATAGACCAGGCCATTCCAGATGTTGATTATGCATATTCCATATTTACTTCTTGTACTGCTTGATTAGTAAAGTAATAACCATAGCCATGTCTTAATTCTCTTTCTAAAGGCCAGGAGGGAGGGGGTTGATCTAATCTCACTGGGGAGAAAGTTCGAGAGCCCACCAACCGCACTTGTGATGCAGGTGGGACTGAGAGCAGGGCCTCCCCAGAAGATCTTAACCTCCATGATGGTTCATAGAGGCGGATACATTCGGACAGGTAAGCTGGGCCAGAAACATTTAGGGCTTTGTAGGCTACAGCCAGCACTTTGAATTGTGCTCTGTAGCAGACTAGCAGCTAGTGGACCTGGTGTAACAGGGGAGTTGTGTGCTTCCTGCTCTGGTGAGAAACCTGGCTGCCGCCAATTGGACCATTTGAAGCTTCCGAACAGTCTTCAAAGGCAACCCCACATAGATTTCTTTCCCTCTGTTATTCAATCTTTTCATTTAACCATCACATACACATGTACATACTACCTATAAGTATGGTAGTTTATTATTTGGCTCTCCTTTATACTTGCAAAATAGTACTAAAGCTTGAGGACCTGGAAGCCCCCACTTTCCTACTCAGCCATGAACTCTCTGGAAAAAGGATGCCTAAAGTGAAGCAGCAAATGGACCCTCCTCCCACTTCCCAAAGTTAATATGGAGAAGATACCCAGAGCCAGCTAAATTATTTCACCATATGAGGCAAAGTCCCATAAGCACCTCACTGCCTGGCAGTACAAACACAATAAGATCTAATTAAATAATTTGTAATTTCATTCTCTTTCATGACACACAAAATCTGCTGGCTGAATCTGCCACCTCACCTTGCCTACTGGCAAAGCAGGCCTTCACTGAGCCCCATATCTTTAATGCCAGACAATGTTACAGGTGCAGCATTACTGAAAAATATCTGCAACGAAAAACACCATATACTCTTGGTATGTATTACTATATATGTTGGGTGTGGGAACCAAAATCTACTGGAAGGTATACATGCAGAAAATAGAGATGGGTGGTGTCACTCAGTTCTACAACCGTATCACACGAGGGAGTCCTCTCCCCCCCCCCCCGGTGTCATTTCACCAGTAGGCGTGGTGAAACAGCAGGCACGAGGACCGATTCTGTTGCGGTGACACTTTCCCCATCACATGGGGGAATCATCACCCAAAGAGGGCAGAACTGTCTTGTGTTGTGGGGAAAGCATCCAGCAATGCTTTGACCCTGGTTGGGTGCTGGGTCTCCACTGGAAGTCACACAATGCTGTGTGATGGCTGGCATGGGGCTCCAACCATTAGACAGTTTGAAAGCACCCTAGGATATTAATTTCCCCCATCTGATGAGGTTCTTAGTCCATCAGTGCAATGAGCCTCCATGTACGGATTTCACCAGTACAGTGATCCTCATTGTTGTCACTGAGGTAGTTCATGAGGTTCACCACATGAACCTAATGGTTACAGAATGTGACCATAGTAGAAGAGGCCTGCCACCCTTAACTATAAATTTTAGGAGGTGGCAATAAAGGAGTCATAGCCCAAATTATACATAAATCCAACTGTCAAGTGCAGTAGGCAGTAGCAGTCAAATGAAGTAGAGATAAAGACTACAATGCCAATGGGGTCATCATCTATTTTGGAACCATGTATTTCATAGCACGGGATGTTTTCCCTCCACATTTACCATAACATTGCAGTAGTGATTGTTAAAGGGCAAGAAGGCCTATTTTCCCCCATTGCTTTACCATGGTGGCCATTGCATGTTAATCTCTATGTGCACATTTTAACTCTATTATCTCTGGTCATCTGCAACATTTCCTATATGGTAGCATGTATCCAGCTGTAATTCCAGTGACAACTGTGGGAGAAACATATTAAAGCTCAGATAACCCATACAGTTTGATTCCTAGCATGCCCCAAGACTTTTGTAGGTAGAACTTTTAGAAGAAGTAGACACATCTTGAAAATGCCCCTTTTTCCTTATCCTAATTAACTATATGTTGCATTCACTGTCTTTTTGCTCAGCCAGTAGTACCCAGTGGTATGAACCAGAACTAAAGTTTGGAAATATTAGGTCTAAATCCTAAATTCTATTGCCCTTCCCAACCAAATCAAGAGGATTTATCTGTTGCCTACTCTAGCTGGAACTCACCAATGCCTATAAGCTACTATGAGAGTCTAGCACTGATTTTACATTTACTCTGATAATTCCAATGATTAATAGGTGGAAATTACACAATTACATCATTGCATTAACAATTAATGATGCATTAGTAATGTTCTGCTTTTAAATTTGGAAATCAATTAATAATATGATTCCAAACCATTTTCCCCAAGCTAACAAATTAACTTGCTACTTATTGTGTTGATGGTGCCATTATTTCACAATTAACAACATTTTAATTATTTTAAAATTGTGGTTTTAAAATTTGACTAATACGAGACATCACATTAATTTTAATGCATCACTCTTGAATTCCAGCAGGAAAATGGAAATGTGTTTTCTGATAGAGTGAAGGCATGCATTTAACCATGAGTTTTGACCACAGAACTCAATGTGAGTGGCTATTATTGGTGGAAGCCTCACATGTCTCAAAAGGTGAGACCTTTCTAATGCATTGAGAGTATTTTATTGTCTATAGTTAAGTATAAATCAACCTCATGTCTGTTGAAGATATGTTTGGGGGCCAAAATTATGGATTTTGATATCTCCTGTGGCTTTTGAGGGACATTCTGCAGAGAGAGGAAAGGACCAATGCTGTTTTATTGGCCAGTCACCCCAATCATTCAAAAAGGCTAGAAGTGGCACCATGGCAGAGAGAATAAAGAGGAACAATGCTTCTTTTGGGTTTTCCAAAGTTATAGTAAATTCTTGCCTTTCACTAGAGACAGTTCCTTTTTTGGCAAGACTTAAGGTACAGTATGATGCAGTGAATTAAACTGCTGAGCTTCTGAACTTGCTGACCAAAAGGTTAGTGGTTTGAATCCAGGGAGTGGGGTATACTCTCAATGTTAGGTCCAGCTTCTGCCAACCTAACAGTTCAAAAACATGTAAATGTAAGTAGATCAATAGGTACCACTTCAGCAGGAAGGTAACTAAATTGCACTCTATGCAGTCATGCTGGCTACATGAACTTGGAGGTGTCTAAGGACAATGCCGGCTCTTTGGCTTAGAAATGGAGATGAGCACCACTCCTCAGAGTCAGACATTACTAGACTTAATGTCAGGGAAAACCTTTACTTCACTTTTAGTCACACAAGATGTGTGGGTAAATTAATCCAGATTTGGAGAGTTGATTTTTTTTACTAACAATTGTAGGCTTAGACATGAGCATATAGAATACTTCCTCGTGTCTCCTATTTCCTCCCTGGATGCCCGAGAAGAGCAGCTTCATTCCCCTCCCAGAAACTGATGGAAATGATATTCTTGCTGCTCAAGAGCTTATGGAGAAAAAGAATGGCCTGCTGTAACTCATCTCCTTCTTACCAAGGTTGACAAAGTATTAAGCAAAGGAGCATCAGTTATCTTTTTCAGCAATGCCTCTGAAGTGCATACATTGGTATAATAAGAGGCCCTGCCAGTATATCTAATCAACAAGATTCCAGTCATATTATTAAGCTCTGACCTAATTTAACAGCCGGCAAAAACAAACATTGGGATTTATGCTATTGTGACAGTGATTTCGTTTTCTTTCTTTCTCTTGTAAATTGTTTCTGATTTATGCACTGTTGGATACCAGAAGACAATTGGAAAAATATCATGCTGACCTGACCATCTGAAATATTAAAACATTTCTTTCAGTACTATAAAATTATTCTTCCATCTGCTCCATATTTCACTATCATGTGGTTTACTTATACTAGTTCATTTTACCCATTTCATGCCATTTTAATTGCAACAGCATTTTAAAGAATCCTTGGATTGTAGTTTGGTGTGGCACTTAACACTCTCTGTTACAGAGTTACTATGTTGAACTCAAGAATAGAAGGATTTAGGATTAAATCTGTTTAATTCAATCATAAAGACAGGTTGCTGGGGGTCCTTGAGAACTATAGTACAAATGAGACTAAAGCTCTGTACTAGAGAATTGTAAGTACCTTACCAAAATAAAAATCTAAGGATATCTAAAGATGGAGCCTGAGGGTGGATCTATACTGCAGAATAAATGAAATTTAACACCACTTTAACTGGCATGGCTCAATAGTATGGAAACTGGGATTTGTAGTTTGTGAGACACCAGCACTCATTGACAGAGAGAGTTACATCTCTCAGCAGGCATGTAGCCGGGGGGGGGGGGGCTTGGGGGGCTTGGGGGGGGGGCTTCCATCCCCCCCCCCCCGAAATTCTCATGGTGGTCTACGAGAAGGCCTTACTGGTACATTATTTAAACTGTTATGTTTATTCATATCATGATCTGATCACCATGCTCAATATATCCCATATGCATGGGGTATTGGGGTAACGATAC